GTCGGTTTTGTGCTTGTTGTGTGAAATAGAAGGACAACGACTCTTTGGACATCGTCTGGGCATGGCACGATTTTATGCTTCGCATGAGAGGCGTCCGCGATGGTTCGCACGTCCGACATCGCTGCGATCAGGCTGCGAGCAGGCAACGAGCAGGCCACAAGGCAGACTACGAGGCAGGCTGTGAGGCGGCTTACAGTCAGGCGGCATTGGGAGACCTGAGAACAGTCACTTGCACGTAGCACCCCAGGGGCATGGACCTGGCAAAGGGAACATCAGATACAACATAGGGGTACACAGAGTTAATTCAAGGGAGAATCATCTCCGGTCTGTCTAAGCATGTTGCTGCAGGTGCTTTCCGCCCATCCCTATGCTCCGTCGATCGCGTTACACCACCAGCTAAGACCCCTCACGTCTACCGGTTGTACTGTCCAGGGTCAGTAAGCCTTGGGTGTCATCGGGCGTGGGACTTACGACAACACAGTCTTCGCACCGCGCGCCGTGGACGTTCACCCAGCCGGGGCAGTCGACGCCGTGCTTGTATCTGTTGACGCAGGGGTAGCGGTCCATCCTTTCGGCTTCGTTCGCCTTCGATCTTGTGCTGGCTCGCGGGTGGAGTGTAAGGTATGCGGTTTGTGGTAAAAGTGAGGTTTTGATGGTCTTCGGATCAGGGAATCTCGCCATCAGCACCAACCCTTTATATGTCTTCCTCCCAGAATTCCAGACCATGCCGCAGCTGCCTCAAATGGACACGACTGCAGAGCCAGTGCCTCCATTCGCAAGGAGCCACGGTCCGATGCCCAACAGACCTCCCATGCCGCCGGCAACCAGCGGGTACTGCACGGCTTGTCCGCGATTGGCCCTTTCCCTGGCCCGCGAGTCTCTCGACAGTCAGCCAACACGAATGTTGTCGGGTTCTGCGCTGGCCGTCGCTGCGCAAGACATGAAGTCGGGAGATGCAGCCCTGATTGGTTGGGCTAACGTCTCCATGTGCATGCCAAAAGCGGGCCGTCCTGGGGACGCTAAAACGTGAGATGAGCGCCCCACGTCGTCTGTGCCGTGGCACCGGGGAGGATGCAAGGACGATGCAAGATTTGGCGTTCCCACTCCCCTCCAACTTTCTTCAATCAGCTCACACCCACAGACATGTCGTCGCTCACACCCCACCATCTCAGCATGTGCACCCCCGGTCTCCACCCCCCTCCTGGCTAGTCCTCAAGCCGCATATACCTGATGTCCATCACTCTGCAGAGGGGCTCGAGCGCCCTCAGGTCAATGTCACTCACTCCGGCTGCCCACGCCTGCCCTCAACCCACCCTGCAAGGCTGCCCCGATTGGGCCTCGGCTCGAAATGCCCTAGGCCGGGCTTCGGCGCTGTTGCGAGTGCGCCAGGCCTTCCGCCATTGCGTCCGCAGAGCGTCCTTTGTCGACGCAATCAGCTCGCCATCCACCCGCAACCCCATCACGAAGGCCCGAAGAAAGCCTCCGACTAATTTCTCCATCGTTGGGCAAGTTGTAATACTATGCCGGCTAAGAAGATCACCTGGAGACAAAAGGCTTGCAACGGATGCTGTGTCTTGCTCCACCCCCAACCGAAAAACGAAGTCCTCATCACCCGCCGAGCTGACAGGAAAAAATGCGTGGGAAACAGTGTGGATGTGGGAACATTGGAACACAATATCTCTTACAAACAAAGTCATTATTCTATTACGATTCACGTGTCTAGCAGATCCCTTCGCAGCTCCGCAGGTAATGAATTCGCCTACAACCTAACCTACAGCAAACAATCCTCGTTCCCCCAACCCGCTCGAAATCTTGCATGCAGATCCGATCATGTCGACAAGCGATTTCGTTTCGGTGCTCGGTCATCTTCAAGATCCTCCTCGAGCCGCCTTTTGGTCTTCTTGTAAGCTTCGATAACACGCCTATACATGTCAGCTTCCATCGATCGGTTGGTGACAAGAAACGTACAGTTGAATGAGCCTGACTGTTTTCATTTGATCATTATCCCAATCAAAACGGTAATCATTTCTTCCTTGTTGATCTGTATTCACATCCGCCTCTGTGAAGAGATTCCCTGTCTCGATTTCATACGCCACTCTTGAATCGACAGAGATGAAAGTTTTCGTGATGTGCTGGACCTCGAACCCAACACTAATCATCATGCCCTCGATCTCTTGTTCTATATCTTCATGGTTTGCGGGCGGTTGCCCGCTTGTCTGAAGCGTGTGTGGTGAGTTCTCGTAAGATGTGATTTGCCCGCCAATCCGAACATCAATGGAAGCCCCAGCTTTCATTGAGCTGATCACATTTTGAATTAGCAAATGATCCACCAAATTACTCGATGTAAAGGGTACCTGTAGAGCTCCTCGAAGAGGCGAGGTGGAATTGTGGTTCCGGCAAGGCAAATCGAAACGTGATCATGGGAAGATTGGACGCCGAGAGTGTTCCCATAACTGAACTTGTCAGTAAACAAAGTGTGTAACGCATCGGCAGACCTACCTGCACTCCGTGAAGACAATATCGGCTTCTTTGTATTCAGTTGATGGCGACTTTGACACGCTCGGGCACTTTTCGTCTCCTGTGCTTACAGAGAAATTCGCCGCCGAAAATTTAGAATTATGGCTGATAATAAACCGTACGTGTTCGGAGTGCGGAATATCCAAGAAATTCACATGGCGTTTCAACACGCCAAATACTTCTGAAATGAAATCGGGGGAGTCGAGATGGGCGTCGATTGAAGAAGAGGCGTCATAGTGGTAGGACTCAGCGTCGAACTCGTCGGGTGAGTAGTATCCTTCATCCTCAAACATCGGTCCTCGCATGATATCAATCAGGGAGAGTTTCGTGACGAAATTGTTGTGATTTCGACCTACACATGTCAAGCTCTTGTCGGGAACGCGACGGTCTTATAAGCTACCTGGGGAGGGAAAATGTCGACCCCCTGACGCCTGATTGCAAAAAGATACTGCCAGTGGTGCATGGTCTCCACATTCATCTCGCCCCCTGAGAGGTCAATAATACGTAGTGGGTCTCGAATCGTCTGCCCCTGGGTCTGAGCTGCCCAGGCACTCAGGGAGGCAGCCCCTTAACCCATCCCAGCTGCTTTGAGGGCCTTCAGAGCCAGACCATCTTGGCAAAGGATTTACGACGCATTCAGAGCAAACTGCAAGCAGCCAACGCCACGCTTCCTGCTTGACACCTCTCTCGACCGCAACAGCATCATTATTTCAAGCGAGCTACTCACGACTGAAAAGACACGAGAACCGAACGCCCCATGTTTCGGGGCCTTCTCATCATCTTCAATGTCGCTGTGTTATTTTATCTCGGCGACGCCGTATCAGTCCGACGCCGCTGACATCTTTTACTCGACGCCTAGGGCTGCTTCAATGGCCAGCAACCCATAGTTGAGACGACTAAAGTCTAGTCGCTATGCTTCCTGGCGTCGCGTCGCCGCTGTGCCCATGCAGAGGACGTTCAGGTACATCCTCATCCTTCGAAGAAAGCTACCTGCCCTCTACCAATTGCCAACTTCAGGAACGTGATTCGCGAGGGCTTTTGATGGAGACGAAGCATTGGCTCACAGGGAAAACTGGCATCCACATATACCTCGATGATCTCTACGAATTGATTTCAAGTAAGAACAATTGTATAAAAATCGCGGGATTCATTCGATTGCGCGGAGCAGCGCTCACCGCGAGGCGCCTACCCCCGTGGTCCCCGTTGGCCCTACTTCATGAATTCTCCGCCGAGGGACCACTCATCTCTGCCCCGCAGACAACTCCCCAACCCTTCAGCCACAAAGCCTGGTCACAGATAGTCCATTTGAACACAACATCCCATCTGACTCCAAAGGCTGCCTTGCCGATATGGAAAACCTTCAAGAGGGTCAGTCTCAGGTCTTTGCCGAAGTACGAGGGGAGACTGACTAATTGCAGTACGCGTGAAAAGCAGGATCTGAGATCTCCAAAATCGCTGCTTCCACAAGCTGGTCATGCAAACCAGGCCGTGCAGATCCTTCGCGCGCGATAGCTACATTTGCTCCTATGAACTTGATTATCGTCGATGCAAGCCGATCTCCCAGTAGAGGTTGTTCCTCAAACCTGTGATGTTTGACGGGGAGCTTGTGATGTGTAATCTTTGGTTGCATGCCGATCTTGTTAATATCTCGTCCGATATTAGAGAAAACGTGACCAAGCTGTTCTTCTGGTGTTTCTGATGGTTCGTATAAGATTCGAGATGGTTTCAGGAGAGGGGATGTTTCGGGCAGGCTATCATCGTCGGTGGAAGGAATCATGTCGACTACTTCGATATTCAGCTCTCCGCCCGGTACGAGACAAACCTGCACATTGACGAGAAATTCTGGCCAGTTCTCCCGATCACTCGCGAATGTATGAGATCATAGGTCCTCATTCCATATCGTGTCTTGGTCGACTTCAAGGCAGACGTTGTCCCTGAGTGATTCGCTAAAGTAGTGTCAGTTTTTTCCTCGTAGCGGACCTTAATAACATACAGTCGAGGATGGAGCTGAGGGTCCCTATATCCTACGAAATGTGCGATCGCAAGTCCGTTGGAGTCTCTCATTTCAGCGGCTCGAGCCAGCCAAATGGCGCTGTTCGTCGGGAAGTCTACAACAGATTCGACATCCGATAATGGATAACAAACTTGGTCTCCACGCGCGATTTCCAGACTCCAGCTCAGCAAGTCCCATGCCTTTGCGAGAGTGTCCTGCTACAAAGTCAGAGCGGAGGGACTAGGGGTGCCGAATGGGCCGCACATTTTTCGGGTATTGCCGTGTAGCAGATGGGACAGCCATTGCGAAGTCTGCCGCCGAACTATTTTCAAAATAAAGGGAGCAAGAACAAAGGACAAGGCGTCTTGCCCTCAGTCGTCGTAGGCAAAGCTTTATCTGTGTTGTGAACCCGGCAAGCCAGGTGATCCTCCTTGATGAACAGAAGTAAAAGCATGAGCCATCGAACTCTTCAGACCCTTGCAGGCGTTCCCACATGTGTTTGCCGTCATGTGATGTAAATTACAACGCTTTCCCTGATTGATGAGGCTTTTCGACAGGGGATACCTCGAGGGCCGGGCAATCAGGTTCGTCGGCTCTTTGCTCGAGGTTGGCTTATGCATGGACTCCTTCGCAATCTCGGATCTCGCAATCCGGGGGTTCCGCCTGTTGTCGGAAAGCTACCCTCCAAGGTCTCTAGAGAGATGGCATAAGGAATCGGAGCATCTCATCAAAGGCGTCCTAGGTTCCATTGGGACAATGACCGGGACATTCAGAAGATTAGGAAAGTGTCTGGTCACAGCTACAGCCCTCGGCTTGAAGTGGTGCTAATCGCTAAGTCGAAGCGGCGAAGCCATCTGTGTAGTCATGCGCTCGTCGACTCTTGCTTGGGCGCGGATCTAATCATGAATGGACGAAGCATCGTCTCGACAGCAGAAATTGAACACGAGCAAAGTATGTGTAGAGCCAAACGACAATCAGGTTTTGAACAAATTGGCTCAAATCCGAGGACCATTTCCTCTTCGAAAGCTCTCTGCTGTGAAAGGCACAATCCGCTTGTGTGCCACCTGTGGTATGCATACCACATTCAGCTGAGCGAACCTAATGATCCACGACCGCAGAAGTTCCAATCTTTGTGGGTCGTAGCGCATAGCAGTGGGATCATGGACAGGAAAGGAGGTGTGTCATGTCACTTTGGAGCATGTCTGATTAACCTGATGCAAGCATCAAAACGGGCGCGGTGCGACGTCAATTATTTCCCCTTTCCTCCCCTCTCTGTCAAGCTTTTGGCAGGATATCGAACCATATCCTTTCTGGTAGCTAACTGAATCTGTGAACGTACTCTAGGTTGCTTCCGTAGCGACAATCATTCACAGTATTTCGCACGTCATAAGGGCCTCCACGGAGGTCAATGGCCAAAGGACCAGATTGTCGCATCTGGAAGCCAGGATGCCAGCCATGTACGCCTGCTCAACTGCCCGGAGCTCTCCATTAATTTCCCATACGCGTCTCTGTTGCGACTCGAGGGATGAAAGAGGCCGTTTGGGTTTGCAGTCGCACGCGGACTTGTTCCGCCGTCGCGTTAGTCTCGGTCTTGCTGAGTCTCTTCTAAGCTCCCATTTCGGTAAAGATGATGCGTCCAAGATTCAGTAGCCAGCAGAGGTTTGTCCATGTACCAGTCCAGCTAAGGCCTCTTAGGCCTTCACTCGGGATTTCGTTTGCGGCCTTCGGCCACATCTGGGTCTCGAAATGGTCAGAAAACCCGATCAGTCTACGACTTCCTTGGCGCTGGCTCTGTGTGAATCATTAGCGACAATATCCTCGACTCTTCAAGGCTTAGCTGAAGCGGGGACACCGACCGCCATGGGATTGAGATCCTAAAGGACAATTTGTGACGGCCCACAGGGCAGAGCAGTGCCAGCTCGGTTAGCTCAGGGCATCTAACTTTGCCTCGGCCGATCTCGCGAAACCCAGCGTGGAGGAGACTGTCTGGCTCGTCATGGCTACGGCCGAACGCGCAACCAATCCAACAGGCTTCGTTCTTCTCGATATAGGGTTCTTCACCACGTAATTTGTACTAGAGCTCCTTGTCTGGTTCGCTATCACTTTGTCAGGCCTCTTATGCGACGGTGCCATCGTCGTTGACAGTCCGTTAGGGCACCAATTGCAACTTCAGCAGGATAAATGTGGTGAACATTGGTCGTCTCGAAATTTCTGTGCGGGATGCTACACTAGCGACGACGTTACGAACATAACGAGGGGGGGGTGTCACAAACACAAGTTTCTGGAGGGCCAGGGTAGACCGTTAATGATCTGGGTGCCTGGCAAAGAGAAGGGAGCGAGCCTTAGGGGCATTAATTTCTAGCAAAACATCCATGCCCAGCTACAGTGGCATAAACAGCAGGCTATGAGTCCTGTCCCTTATGGCTTGACGGGCGAGATTGCTTTCACACAGTGTCTTGGAGGCGGGCGTCAGACGGGCCATCGAGGGTATGGGTTCCCCGGACCATTGCTTTCGTTACCAATCATCGCTTCTGAAGCCCATCTGTCTCTCCATATGAAGCTATCAAGCATACGTCTGTACGATTGGTACTTCGAGTTGGTGCAGTCTTGCAACTTACTGAGCTTACTGAGCTTCGCAATGCTCATCCACACAAGCTGGAGACGCTGTAGCCTGAACGGCGCAAGGTCGGAGATCGAAGTTTCATATCCTATCACCCTGACATGCACCAAGACTCGATAATCTCACTTGCCCCTCCCGCGAAAATTTCACTCCCTCTGTGCTAATGGTTTACTGTGGCATCTCGCGAGTTCCTTGCGCCTTATCCTAATGCATCTTTGTCAGGACAGGAAAGGGGGGAGGGAGGGGCGTCGAGGCTAGGGTGCACGCTCATAAGCTCCTACAGCTCCCTCCATGTCAGCTAGTGCGGTGGACAATACCAGGCGATCACTGCCAAAACCTCTGTTTCGCCTGACATCGATGTGTTTGCCCTCTGGTATTCACTTGCTCGCTTGACATTGACCACCGTGCCCCATATCATACCACCTTTCCCTGGGTATATAATATGGCTTTGCCCCGTTCTCTTGCCTAGGTAGACGTTTATTGGCGATCTTACGTTTGAGAGATGAAGTGCTCTGTTCGTTCATCTTCCATACTGCAAGGCGCAGCAAGGGATCACAGTCAACCGCCGCACATTCATGGCCCATGAACACGTCTTTGGAATGTGGCTCATCATCGCCAATTTCCATCAGAGCTGAAGCCTGTAGATCCACCCACAGGTAAGCTTCTCAGAACGAAATCTCCATACAGCCATTGAATATACTTGATTTGTATCAAAAAAAATTAAGTCCGTACGTGCTGAACATTGCCTTCTTTTATTATGAAAGCCTCCACCCCACTTTCTCGCCTCCTCCGCCATCGATCGCTAGCCGTGATTCCCTCGATGCACCCATCCCGAAAGCGTCTCAAATACTTCTGGACATCGGCGGCAAACGATGTGGTGATCTTACGTCGAGTTCTTAAGAAAACGAGGTCCCAGTTCAGGCATTCCAAAATAGCTAGCCCGGAAATCCCACCCCCCTCATTTCAACGCTAGGGATTGATTTGCACAACGGAATCCCAGATTCCGCGTCAGCCGCGGCCCGGTCAGCTGACTTCTGCCGCCGTTATGCCCCAATGATATCCAGGGTGAACACAACTCGTCTTCAGGAGTCACCGAGGACACAAGTGTGTCGCCTGAGCCAGATGAGATATATGGAGGTGGGCATGAACCACTTTTCCAATGGTGAACGCCTTTTCACCTCTACGCGACCGCCTACGTGGCAGATCAAGATTGTTGCCAGTCATTAGCCTCTTGATCGTTTGGCCATTTGGGGACATGGTCGCTCATGAGCGAGTCTGCCATCGAGGACTGTTGGCAACCGCGAGGAATGGTGGAGAAAGGTCACTATTTTCATTTGTGAGGGCAAGCTAAGTATGGGTTAATCCGACTCTATTTACATCATTTCATTCAATCGAGGGATTCACGAAGTAGCAGAGTGGGGGAAACCCGGAGACCATATGTACTGTCGCCACTCTGCAGTTGATGGGACAACGAGATGGCAGCGGTCAGTACGGAAGTGCATCCACGAAGGCGATGCACTAAAATGTGACCTGGTTTTCAAGCACATTTTCCGCAGACGTTCGTGCAAGGTCAAAACGGCGGCAGTACCAGTTCCCATGCCGTTGACCTGATTGCTGACGCGCGAGTGTTGAGGTACAGGGCGCGGCCAAAGAGCCTTAGCATCTTCAGCAGAATGCCGTCCTACATGGCGTTAGAGGAGTGTCCGCATAGTCACTGTAGAGTCTACCCTGGAAATTCGAAATGCCCTCAGGCCTCCTACTACTGAGCGGTATTCACCAACCAACCATTGTTTCTCGAAATCGAGATATTGCCGCCTTATTTCCCTCTAGTGCACCCAATCGAATTAATTCCAAAAAGAATTAGTGTTAACAAAAGTGGGCATTCATGTGGCGACGTCATCCAGCAGTTGATGAGAGCAACCCATGACTGACACCAACCTCCAGCTCATCGGATAAAACTCGTGGCGAACGTTAGCAGCGTACATACATCAGAGCCATATACTCGACGACTTAGGTTTGTCTGAGTTGTGATCTTCAACGACATGCCACAGCCAGCAAAGGAAATGTTAGATGCTGCATAATCGTGATTGTTCGGCATGTAATCGTATGGGTTTTTTGGCTCATCAACTTCAAAGGGGCCGGAGCACAGACATGACGAAAATGCCAACCGCCCGCCCGAGGGTGCGAATACCTAGGCACATGTGGACCTTCTTAACTCAAACCCGACCACCCTACCCCGCTGGCGGTGACCAGTGATAAGACACAGGCCAATCATACGAAACCACGTTATCGGACTCTTGACTAATTGGGCCTCGAAGAGCATTGACGCTGTCAATCTTGTTCAGAACGAGAATCATAGGACTTTCAGGCAGGCCAGCGCCCTGGATGACACTAGCGGCTAAGCATCCTGGTACCAACTGGAAGAACTTTGAACGGGAAGGGTTCCGGAGAATGCAGGCTTAAACACAGAAGCAAGGAGGGGTAAAAGAGGGGTAGGTATGAAGCATCTGAGCATCTACTCATTCCGTCAAATACATGGCCTGGGTAAAGCCGAGTAGTGCTGGCTTCTCTACATACTTAAGAGCTTTTGCAGAGGTTTTCGCCTTCAGCTCTCCAACAGACTTCTCCTCACGGATTCATTGACATTACCCGACCAGCACCATGTCCGACAAAGAGTCCCAAACGCCTCGTGTGTTCATCATGAGACATGGTAAGCCATATTTCTGGCAACTGAACACAGTTCTATAACTCATCCAGCTACAGGAGAGACGGAATGGTCCCAAGCTGGCCGCCTCACTGGGAGCACAGAAATTGATCTCAACGAGAAGGGAGAACAGCAGGTTGCCGCTGCGGCAAAGGCTCACGCGGGCGCAGGCAAAACCATCGACCCAAAACGCCTTGTGCTGGTCATCGTTAGTCCAAGAAAGAGAGCGCAACATACTTTAAATCTCTTTCTACCGATGTCCGATGACGGCGATCAGATGCCAGAGGTTGTCGTAAACGATGACATAGCGGAGTGGGACCATGGCGAATATGAGGGACTTACCAAGGAAAAAATTCGAGAACGAAGATGGGCAATGGGATTGGACAAGGGCACCGGATGGGACATCTGGCGCGACGGATGTGCGCGCGGAGAGTACGTCATGATTTGCTACGCTGTGTTTGGCGCGTTGAAGCTAATATCCTGATGATATGCAGGTCGAATCAACAGGTTACCGCGCGAGTGGACAGAGTCATTTCCCAGATCCGTAACAAACAAAGCCGTTATATGAATGGCGAAAGGCCCGCTGATGTTCTCGTTGTAGGTTTTCGCCCCGTGGAGAGCGGGTCATCTATTCACTGCTCCTCTCCTGTCCATTCATGTTCGTGGCTAAGAGCTGGTATCTTGTAGGTCGCGCATGGCAGTATCTTAGGCGTTCTTGCGGCACGCTGGGACGAAACGGACGCTGTACACGGCCGCAGTTACTTTCTCTCGCCGGCGGGAATAGCCCGTCTAGAGTGAGCTGGTTTCAACAACACCATGACCCTCGTATTGTGACACTGATCTTTCCCGATAGATATAAAGACAAATGCACCGACCAAGCTTGTTTTACCAAGCTGTCTTCGCCATCGATGGAAGATGGTTCGGTTACCATATCAGAGAAATCGTCTCCGGCCGATGGGATCAAACATTTAGGGCAATCGAAGAACTCCGATATGATCTGAATCTAGTTCAATTGCTATCTTATGTGGTTCGACGCATGTCCTGCCGTAGTCTTGCGCAGTTACACTCTTTCCCAACTACCATCGTGATCAAGATCAAAAATTTCCGGAAACTGGCCGGACGACTTGAGGATCGCCTTGGTTTGATCGTCAGCTTGTTGAATGATTTCAGGCAGCAGCTCGAGCTCCCTCAAGCAATCACCATCGCATTTCGCTATGAAAATACGTAGAATCTCGTGCTTGTTGCGGATGATCGCCGTATGCAGTGCCGCCCGACCTTCCGGATTGCGTGTGTTGATTGTGGCGCCATGTTCTAGGAGTAAATCGACCATCTCTGTCAAACCGCCAAAGCTGGCCGACGTGAGCGGGCTACTGCGATGCCAGCCCTCCGGAATTTCAGGGTTGGGATTCGCGCCAGCTTTCAAGACCATTTCAAGAGTTGCGTGGTTGTGGCTGTCAACTGCGTGCAAGACTGTGGTGCGACCGCTTTCATCCATCGAGTTTACGTTTGATTCACCTCTAATGAGGAGTTCCATAACCTCCAGCTGCGCCCTGGCTGTGGCCCAGTCTAAAGCCGTACGCCCCTTAGCGTCCTTCTCGAAGACGGCATTCGGGTTGCTCTTGAGCTCGTCGGCCAATGACTTTCCGAAACCTGGACCTTCTGCAAGCAAGATCGTGTGGATCCATGGAAAGTTTTGGTAATCAAACCAGTCTCGAGTCCGTTCACCCCAGATGGGTTTCAGAGCTACTGTCTCTTCCGGTTTGCACCTTTTGCGGAATATAAAGTCATTCACGTGGTCGTACGATCTGTACACGTTTCAGTCGTCGGTCATACGATCTGTAATCATTGCCATCGTCCCACTCACTCTTCGTCGACTGGTGCCCCTTCTTGCAACAGGTACTGCACTGTTGCATACTGGTTCAGTCCACCATAGAGCGCCCACTCATGAGATGTCAGCGAATCGCGCGCATTACGACAAGTCTCGGAAGGAAAGCAAATAGCGCAACATACCCTCACCAAGCTAAACCCTCGGGTTGCGCTCTTGTCGCTGGGTTGCGCGAACCCTTGAGAGAACAATTCCCTTAGGCCGAAAATATTACCATTCATTGCATATGTAACAGACAAAGCTGTGTCTGGAACTACATTTTGGACGGTGAGCGGCCGCTGGGGCCCTGACTCAAAGATGTAAGGTGCCGAGTTCTGCTCGCCGCCAATAGCGCCATTGATAAACCACTGGCGAGGCCCGAAGTACTCGCAGGAAGGTACGATCGGATATGCCGTGTGTTGCTGCTCAGTGTTCACTGGAACCCCCCGGTACGACCTGTTGGCCTCGACCAGGATGACCGCGTCAGATACTGGCCTCATGCAAGGTAGTTCTGGTGAACTACCCACAAGCTCCTCATCGCTTGTGACGAGAGTCGGCGGGTTGATGAGCTGCAGCGTGGGGGCCGCGAACGAACCATAGGGGTCTCCGCTGCCTCGCGCAGGTGATGGATGACATTCCCCTGCAGGAGAAGCCAGAGGGTGGTAAGCTGAAATCTCAGAGTGACCTTGATTTGGAAGACGGATAGTGTCGTCAACGTGCTGCAGTCCATCGTCTACCATCGTCAGCGGGATTGAGGCTTGTTCACTGTTCGCAATGCGTGCGGATGGGTCTTTTCGTTTGCGCTTGTGGCTAGGTGGTGATTTCTGACGGTCTATCCAGGCACGAGCTTGCGTTTTGTACGCCGTAAGTAGTTCATCAACTTGCGTTCCGCACCTATCTATGTTCTCCCGATTAAGTGAGTCGAAAATGGCTTCGGGGGATACGTTCTTGAAACCTTTTGTCTTCGTTAAGCTGAAGAATTAGTAAAGGAACGAGCTCTGACTTGGGGGGCGAGCTTACGCCGTCCAAGGTATCGAGAGGCCACAGATTAGTGCTCCAGAACCTCCCACATGCGCCAAAATAGACTGTAACCGCTCCCCTGCCTTCGCCAAGGCACTACAATCACGTCCACAATTTTTTTTGTCTTCGGGCTGCTTCTTGTTGAGGATGTGATTAAACAACGCACCTCGGCCCAAACTGGACTCGTACGTTTCTCGCAACTGGCTAAATGCGACAAGCCACACATTTCTTTTGGCATTCCTGAGCTGAGGAGGGTCAGATTGGTTTTCTTGAGTGAGGTGGTCGTAGAGATGGATTGCAAGATCGGGAGCAGGCTCGCCGCCGATCTGTCGCTGTACCCATGCCTCAGGCTCTTGCTCTGCATTGATGCGCGAGGAGAGTGTACGCTTGACTATATCGGTTACGGAACATGGGAGATGATCCCAACACAATTGAATTTCCTCCAGAAAAATGCTTGTAGCGACAAGAAACTGGGGAGAATGAGCGAATTTCCGGCGCGGGCGAGAATGGATGTACCTTTGCGTCTAACAGTCGATCGCTGGGAATCGTCCCACTTGGGTCTTGAGATACGTGATGGAGCGCATCTGCAAACTGACGACTTCCCGCGTTTCCCATGGTGCGGGCGTTTGCTAGAGACAGTTGTTTCGAGGCTGTGGCGGAAGCAGCGTTGGTTACGCAAGGTTTTGTGTGTAGGCTTCGTAGAGGTTGTTGGCTGAAGAAAGGAGGATGGTCATGGACGGAGGACAATGTCTGGCGAACAGGGGGCTTTTAAGTGAGCTCGCCGGACAATGTCTGGCGAACAGGGGTTTTTGAGTGAGCTCGCCGGACAATGTCTGGCGAACAGGGGTTTTTGAGTGAGCTCGCCGGACAATGTCTGGCGAACAGGGGTTTTTGAGTGAGCTCGCCGGACAATGTCTGGTGAACAGGGGGCTTTTAAGTGAGCTCGCCGGACAATGTCTGGTGAACAGGGGGCTTTTAAGTGAGCTCGCCGGACAACGTCTGGCGAACAGGGGTTTTTGAGTGAGTGAGCTGGACATTGTCTTCTGGGAGGCTGGTGTCAAAAATTTTGCAAGCCAATCTCGGGCGCATACCGCGGCGGGCGTGCACCTAGAGCAAGCGCCCTCCAGATGTACCGCATGCCATCACATCGTTCGATAGTGGAGACCAGTATCAGCTCCGCCACACCCCCACACCCACAAAAGAGATCCCAGGGTACATCAATGTACGCAGCAAATGTGCTCACTCTTCCCACACTCACGCCCTGCTCCATTATGATCGCCCCTGGGGATGGGGTGGGCCACCGGTTCGGGGCGATATCAGCGACACCCTGCTTCCACATGGGCTCGAGAAACGTGCTCTGTCCTATGTACGTGCCTACTGGAGGACTCCGTGACGTCTTCTCCGCACACCCCCTGAACGGCAAAGAAGGAGGTGCCAGTGCATGAACCTGTCACTGTCAGGATCCGGGGTGGTGGACCGTGCCACCTGCAAGGTGTTTCATTTGTAGTGGGCAACTAGCGTATACCAATCCTTCCTGACACCTTCTTTCAACCTCCTACGGGGTATTGTTTCCTAACGTCTCGGACCCTTAGTCCTATCGTCGGCAAGGATTCGCCGGGAATGGAAACCTCCTTTTTCGGTCGTCTCTGCGTCGTCACCATGCCGCGCCATTCTTCCATCTGATTGACAGAGTTGATGAAGCAAGGCCATGTAAGAACGAATCA